AACTTTGAACCTTGGAAGTACAAGATGAGTGAGAGGTATGCCCATGTACAGTTTGAGTTCGACATTAGTGGATGAATAGCACCACGCAAGTCGAAAAGGGCGTAACAAACATTTCGACTCTGTAAATGTCCCTTTGTAGCCCAATACTGAGAGTATGTTTCACCGCTGCGCATAGGCTCAAACCACACCCCAATAGACTGCAACTGCAGTGAAAAAAGTGTGCCGCCTGTGGTTAGGTCGTAGAGTAGATTTGAGAGGCCATAAACTTTGGTCTAAAACTTTCAGAGCTGCAAAAATTTTTCCCACCCACCCACGCCATTGTATAAGATCCAACCCCTAAGCCGTATGTGCTTCGGGGCATGGCTTGCGCAGGAACTTTCCCCAAGTTCGCAGAAAAACGATCCCTCACCGAACTGCATGCTGTCCGAGTGATTTGAGTGATATGAATGTGGAAGATATATTTGGATGAGTATTTATGTCTGAATATTCTTCTTTGATATTTTGTTGATTGAATTTTGCTCGGTACGCTTCAGAAAATAAATCCTTCATCCATGACGCGTACCCGCCCAGCCCTTGAATCTTGCTACATCAGCCGTGCTTGCCATTATCCATTTTGGGCCGCCGGCTGGCTTTCATGAAGTATTCACGCGACGAACTGATCTCCACATATTCTTATCCACAATTGTACGAAATCCCGCAATGTGAGCAAGTTCAAGATGCTTTGCCTGTTCTGGCTGGAGCACAAGCCAAACGGGATTTCCATTCCGCATGGAAGACAGTCTTGAAAAAATTTTGCGCCATAACATGGGATGGTCCACAGACCATATGACATGCAATGGCTCTGCTCCATCGCATCTGCTTAATATGTCAGCATCGTCATGCTAGCAAAGGCTCACAAATGCCACCTGATAGTAAACAACTTGTTGGAAGTTGCTTCCGCTGCAGCGTATTCCGAGAATGCCCGCAATGTGTCTCGCGTAAACGTCGTGCAGGCCACAACGGTTCGAAAGCAATGGACCAAACCCATGTGCGCCAAAGTCTCGCAACATGAGATGTCATGATTGAGGCTCGAAAACAGCAGGAAATCCAAAACCAGCGCAAACCACAAGTGGTGGGAAAGGCAGCACGCAGGAGGGCCCAAACACCAATCCTTCCGAAAGGAAAGCTATTCGCGATTTGTTTGAAACAACTTACGCCAAGAGAACTGGGGGCCCTCTACCTGATGATGCTGCTGCGCACGAAAAGCTTAAAAAACTTGACCCTTACACTTTACAGTAGCTCCCGAACCGTAGGCCCAAAGCCATGAACGGAATGAACTTGTTTCGAGATCTGCGGACTTCCAAGGGACCACTACCAACCACAAACCTGAAGCTGTAGCGTGAACTCCAAACACCATGAAAACTTTTTGCCGAAACCACCCAAAAAGGGATGTGCGCTGCATGGTGAGCTTGAGAAACATTGCATTGGACGAGTAAATTGATGTTCTTGGTATCCTTTGCTTTTACGTTGTGTCATTTTTACTTGGTGTAGAAATGCGTCAGTTTTCCAAAAATACGTTGAAATACCTGCATTTTGGACAAGCCAAAATGAACCTAAGCCATTGATCCATTTTCATCTTTTTAGCAGTTTGCAGTGAAACTTTGGGCCACACATGGATGTGCCAATAACGGCCACCCAAAATGCTCATGAATATTTGACAGTTGAGGCTTGTTGTCTTATTCATGGAATGTTGTTGATGTGGAAGTACATGTGCTACCATGCGGACTTTGATTGCGCAGATTTGTTCCGACTCGTGAAAACCGTTTACCAGTTTTGCGCGCGTTTTTCCACCGTTTGCTTCCGAAAACATTGCAAGCTGCAGATTCGTGTTTTTGATTTTGATGAATTTTTCATTTACATGCGCTGCTAAAATTACGACCACGGAACCATGTCGAAAAAAACACTGAAGCTAACGTTGAGCTAGTCTTTGACATTCTTGGTTGAGTTCTTCTAGGCTTTTGTTCAGGCATACCAAGCTGATCTAAGAAAACGTTCGACAACTCGTGGAGCCCGTGTTTCCAATCATGGGATGGGCAAAGTTTCAGAGCAAATGGTACCGAAACATTATCACAACCTTCACTCCAGGTGATGATTCACGTGCTAACTTTTGCAGCATGCGGGCAGGAATTGTTTTGTTTTGCACCACGTGGTTGTGTGCAAACTGGCACCCAGGGGCTCATATCTGGGCAGGCTGTAGGAAAACGGTTCGGAAAACCAACAATGGTTCGTTGGCTTTCGCCATTCGTGCTTGCCCCAGATGTGGTGACACCTGCTGTGTTTGTTTGATGTGACAGATTCTGTTTGGTTTACATGTATTGCAGCTTGCAGCTGTTCAACGTCATTGTCGCAAGGTTTGTACATGGTTTCTCGCGCCGCAAGCTGTGACAGCAGCCAACAGCACGGATTGCCTTATATGGCAGGCTTGGACAGTAAAGAGTGAGTAAAAATCTTATGGGATCGGCTTGCTCAGGGACGTGGGTGCGAGCAAATCGCTGACAAGAAGCTTTGTGCAAGGGGCTTGAAGGGTGCCAAGTGGCTTGCGGAATGTTGTGGAGCAGTTCAATGCGTTGCAATTCAAGGTGAGCAGTCGGGATGGCCACGCGACCGATCCATTTGTAAAAGCACGTGCAGGTCGGCTTCATGATTCCTTTTGCATGTCCCAACTTCAGCACATCATCTGGCGTGCTGAAGCTTGACCGCGCACTTCGCCAGGCGATCGTTGTGCTTGGCACAAGTCTGGCGTCTGCACGCCTGTGGCTCATTGGGTTTGTGATGGTTCTGGTTTGGTGTGTGCTGCAGTGCTGAAAGTGCTGAAGGCGGGAAGCGCAGATAGTTTGGAAAGGCGGCAGCCTGAGCCTGGCGAGTGGTCTCAGGGCAAATGCTCCTTCAGCGTTACACGGAGTAATGGGAAACCCGGGATGCAACAAGAGCGACATGGAAAACTGAAAGCAACTAAAGAAGGGTAGTGGCCCCAATGTCAAATGCCTTGAAGTTTGATTTGGTTGCAGAACAATGCAGTCAGCTACCCATGTGCGACAAAACTTACACCCAAGAGATTGCTATATTGACTTTCGGCCGTAAGTGCCGTCAAGTGCCGAGAAAAGTCCAGGCGTTTGCTTACAACCCAAAACAAAGTAGGAATCCTTTCAACCAACCGCCACCTTGTTTCTGGGAAGCAGGCGACTACGAGGTCGCCACTTGCAAGGCCCTTTGAATCTTGGCTTTTCAGCTCAGATTGCATCTTACTTGCAACCCCTCCAGGAATCAGCGACAATCGAGGAAACTTTGGCCAATGTGCAACCTCCTTCGGTTCTCGGCACGAAGGCTCAAGCGGCTGTCTCAACATGAAATGCAGAGCCTCGAGCCGACTCGAGCCGGGTCAGGTGGAGCTGGTTCCCATGGATGGTGGAGTGGACCGCGCGTGCCGTGGATCTTCACAAGTGGAGACAGGGTGCAGCACTTGCTGGGCCCATTTTGGGCCCAAGAGAGTGCACCTCACGTGAGGCGGCATGCCGGGCTGTACGACATTTGGCCTGCGCCTTTGTAGTGCACGCTTTCCGTGGCCGGTGCGTAAGATGTTCGTGGTGCAGGACTGCGGAGACCCTGGATGCCTGCAAGGCCTGGCTTGCAAGCCTTGCAAGCTGTTGTAGCATTCTACTGGAAGCAGTTTGAACCTTCATGTGAGGCACTCTGCGTGGGCAAGTGCACAGGCATCGAGTACCATGCCAAAGGCAAGTACTGCGAGGCTGGCACTCCTCCCAACAATGATTGAGCGCAGACAGGTGTTTTTTCGCAGGTCTGGAAAGCCCCCATCCAGCACTCCGCATCGAATCCAGGCTTCGCATGCACGGGCCTTGGCTTATTTCAAGCGGCAAAGGGCATCCTGTGGCTTCGCTGAGGCTATGCCCAACCAAACGAGGTGGGCCATCATCAGGACTCTGTTTGAGGTGCCTGGTCTTTGTTGTCAGGCCGGCGTTGTGCGAGCCTCGACGCTAAGCCTGAGCACACCAGACATGGCCACCAGCGGCCTGTTGCCTCCTTCGATTCATCAGCCCCTCTCGTGCCCAATCTCCGTCGTGCCAGGGCAACCTCGGATGCCTCATCAGCCAGGCTTTTGGGAGAGTGGTTTCATTGGTGTGCAGCTTTCAATCAAACACCCCCGCAGTCCACCGGCTGCATGGCGGTCAAAGACAAACTCTCTTGCATCAGCCACTTTGCATACATCTTTGGGCCTGTTGTCTGTTGCCGCTGTTGCCTTCGGCCCTGACTTGCCGCATGCTGCCCAAGGCAGCGTGGATGGCTCCAACACCACCTTCAAGGGCATCACTATCCGAGGCCAGCCCTGTGTTTGGTGTGGAGGTGTGCCACAGGCTCAGCCAGCTCAGCCCAGACTGCAAGCAGCATTGCTCTGCGAATCTGTCCGATGAGTCTGGCCTCCGAAGCACGCCTTTCTGAGGCCATGTACGGATGCGGGAGCCTACGGATGTGCTCCTTACAGTCTTTTGTCCAAGGGTGTTGAGAGCAAGGCTATCACCTTGCAGAGTATGGTTGTGGAAGCATGAAGCGAACACCACGCAGTGCCTGCAGGCCTTCTCAAGTGTCACCGTCCCTGCCTAGGATCAGCCAGAGGGGCACCTCTCTTCGCCATCTGATCTGTACCAAGGCCCTTGAAGCCACCGTGGCACAGTGCCATGCGCCTGCCTTGGAGAATTCATGAGGAGTGAGGTGAGGAGGTATCAGTTTGTTTGTCAGAATGAAGAGCTGGACTTTGCCCCGGAAGAGCTGCAATGCTTGAAGCTTCGACCTCAGCGAGACTCGATTTGAGAGAATTAGGGAGTGGCAACCTCCAGCTCCCCAGAAGCCTGACAGGACGGCGCCGAGGGGCTGCAGTGACATCCAGGTGGCCTCTGCTTGGGACTCTCGCGCCCTCTGTATGAAAACGAAGCCTGCCAGGATGAGAATGAATGCACGGCCAGCAAGCAGGGAGCGAAGTACAAGTACAGTGCAGGATTCAAGGCAAGCGAGAATGCAAGCTGTGCAATCTAGAATGCTATGCCGCTGCTATGCCATGGAGCAAAGGCCCTCTCAAGGCTCCAACTGTGACTCGTTAGATCCGTGAGGCCCAGGATGAGCCCTGCGTGTGGTGCGGCGGAGGGTCCAGCACCTTTCGAAAAGCTGTGTATATCGCTTGTCTAGCCGTGGAAGCTGTTAAGGTTGTGTAGTGCTGGAGCTCTTAACCGTTGTGAGCCTTACGACTATATCATGCACGGGGAGGGCGGGAGCCCGAGGTATCCGAGGTGCAGTTTCCAAATATCATCAGCATTTCATTCTGGCCTCAGGCCACGCCTTCACCAGATACAGCTGCTTGGACGCGGAAGGGATGAGTAGGAAGGGAGAGGGACTTGATCTTCACAGAGCTTCGGCTTCAATCTAGGCACCGTCACTTACTCGCGGGCATCCTGCGATCAGGACAGCTCTTCAAGTTCAAGTGTAAGTCCATGCAGGCTGGCTCAAAGAGTTGCGCTAGTCAGGATGACAATCCCAGTCCCATGAAGCTGAACATGGAACAGCGGCACCCCCAGTTTGAACCTTCCTTGCACAACTGTCCGGACCTCCTTGGTGCAAAGGTTTGCCGAGGGCCGCAACATGCGTGCTGGGGCCCTGAAGTCTGCAGTGATCTGCAGTGTGTGGCTTCGCAAGAGAGTCTGAAACTGGAGCCATCTGCAGGTCGACTGTGGCCATCCTTTCCCTGTCTGGAAGAAGGTTGGCGACGCCCTTGATTCAGCAAGACAGTTCCTCACTCTCTGGGCTCCTCCTGTTCTAAGGCCAGCGCTGTGGCTTCTGCAAGGTGATGATCCCCAACATCGAGGCATGTGCAGGGTCGGTAGCAATTTTTTTCAATTGAAGATTGTGACCTCTCGCAATCCTCTCGCAAGTTTGTGCAAAAGGGAAGGTCTTTCTCAGTAGAGTCGAGAGTTAGCGCTGATTAGAAAGGTGCTTACTCAAAGGATCAGCCAAGATTTCAAGACGCTTTGAACCCACCCTTGCCCCCCCTGTCTCATAGGCAGAGTACAAGACCTGCATCGACTACTGCGCACATCAAGGCTCCACGTTGGCTCGTGTTGTGCAAATCCGTGTCTGGTGCAGGTTTGTTCCAAATCCACAGATCCTGTAGAAGAGCGAGAGCGAGAGAGAGAGAGGGAGGGATGGATGGATACCTAGATTATGCAGTATTCAAGCTGATACCCTGGAAGTCCGCATGCGAGTTGATGCACAAAACCAGCTGGGAATTGGGGAGTAGAATGTGTGTTGTGTGTGTGTGTGGTACGAAGGGGACATGGTGTTTCGGGACCAGGTAAAACCAAACTGGTAGGTGTTTTGCATCACCGACTCCGCGAAGTGCCAGGAGAGTACGAGTGGGGAAAGATGTGGGAGTCCTTGGGTCAAACGCACCAGGAAATCATAAATGTCACAGCTCAGTCGAGACGAGAAGGGGAGAACCTCATTGGAATGTCTACGAGCAGGGGCGAGAGTAGCGAACCAGGTAGCGTTATACATTTGGGGTCTGTGAGTGTTTCTTGCTTCTGTATGCCACCTGCTGTAAACCTGAATGGGCAGGTATCCCGAGCCTCCTGAATACTGACCTCGTACCTTGGACTGCTTGCGGGCCGGGGGTCCGCCACCGCGAGCATCTTCGGGTGCTGCATAGCCAGAAGAAGAAGAATAAGAAGCAGAAGAATGGGGGAAAATCCCAGGAGTATTGCCGGCATGAAAGAAAGAAAGCTCTTGTTGTCTCACGCATCTTTGTCTCGCATCGTTCCCTTCCCTTACCTCTTCAATCCAGACGTTTCTCAAGGAACGCTTCTGCCGGTGCGCATGCCATCTTTTCTTCCACGCCTGCATCTGCTCTTTGCAAGCGAAGCGCCAGCATCGCCACGTCCTCCTCTGTGCTGTTGTATCCCTTTCTGGATTGGTGTACTCCTATATAGAGAACGAAGTGCCTCAATTGGTCCACTTCAAAGGCTTTTCTCGCTCCGTAAATCGCTGGATCCAGAACTGCGCAGCTGACCTCCTTCATGGATGTGACGTTGGCTCTGCGGGTTTGGTATATCTGTGCCATGTATACTGGCCTTCATTCTCCCATTGTCGAGATGTCTCTCCTCCTTGTTGACGAGCCCATGCTCATCCGAGTCCGTCTCCAGGTCCCATCTTGTCTCCAACTTCTGGCAGGTCGCTTCCGATGTTCTCAGTTGGGGTCCCCTCAGGCTCCCTCGTGTTGTACGATCTCCCGCCGAGCCTGCTTGTTCCGCTTGTTCCTCTCCTATCCAGCCGTCTGCTTTTCCAGGCTCATCTTTCGCATCACTAGCTCATCCGGTGGTTGATTCGGGCTGATTCTCGCCAATGCCGGAGGTGGAACCTTTCGCTGGTTGTCCATCTGTTCCTGCTCTCAAGCCAGTTGGTTCCCTTCATCTCCCATTCGATGTTCATGTCCTTCATCGGGTTGTGCTTTAGGATCCACAAGCGCCTCCACTCTGTTTCAGCTGTTCCCTTGATTCTGTGCTAAGTCCTTGTCTTTCCAGAACTGTTAGTTTGTCCGGCTGTGCTGCTTTCCTGGGGCTATTCAGTTGCTTTCCTTTGTCCAGCTGTCCATAGCGTCTCCGCTTGTCCAGAGTTCTCCGGCTGCGACGCTTCTCCCTCTGCGTTGGATCGCTCCTTCTGTCCTTTCTTTGGCAACCCTCTCGTCAGTGTTCTCCTGCAGGTCAGCTTTCCTCTTTTTGGAAAATGATAAGAGTGAGATTTTACAGAACACAACCCCTTGAGATTGTACAGAACATTCCAGGCAAGAAGCCCAGCAATTTGAGGATTGGAAAACCAAGAAGCAGTGACCAGATAGGAACATAGAACCCTGCAAGATAATTCGCCCAACTCCCAAGTCCTGAACCAAAGGAAACACTGACGTAGGGGGTATTAAGGAAATAGGTGTGCCGCTACATTGTGTGCACTTTGGATGAGGCGAGCGGAAATTCGGAGCAAACTCCCAATCGTTCTCAGATGGGCACTTGCCCGCAGCGGGAGTCTGAACCGTTATTTGTTGGGAACAGAAACAGATTCTTCGATCTTGAAGAAGGACTTGCTCAGAGACTACAACTGTAGTATCTTTGTCTAGGGGGGAGAAACGTGACCAATAGCTTTGAGACATCTTGCAGTTCCTTGCAACAAGTTTTGCCAGATCCGAGAAATCTCCAGAAGATTCACTAAACAATCCCAAATCGCACCATCAATCTCGGCCCTTTCTGATCGCCATGCTATTGTAGTTGACGGGGCCTGTTACCCACTGAAGGCTTTCTCCGCTTGATTCTTAGTAATCAGATCAGGAACCCCAGCTCCATATTACATGCCCTCAGGGTATCCCCGTCTTGAGCGAGCCACTTGTAATCCGCTTTGGTACAACCATGGTGAAAAGTCGAGCTGCAGCCATCTGCAGGAGGCATGGCGTGCAAGTCCGCATCTGTGGGCTCCTTGAAGAGCTGCGACGCGCGCGCCTGGCAATTTCATGTGAACATTTTGAAGTATGATGGTGTCCCTGACCTTAAAGGCTTTCATGGAAGGGATTTTTGTGTTGATTTCAGTGGACCGCCATGGACTGTCACGCTGTTTTTTTTGCCTGCACATCAAGATTTTCACTTTGCCGCGTCTTAATTGACTCATGTGCACGCTCCTGACAGTAGAGAAACCATGGGTGACAGCGGATGGGAAACGGTGCCCGCAAGCCAGGAAGGCTGAAAAGACCTGTTCCTATGTCTTTGGTGCCTGGGTCTCGGGTTTGCATGCTTCAGGCGAGCATGCCTCAGAAGCAATGGACAAAACAGTGTCTGTCAGTTCGCTTGCTGAGGCAATGGAGCACGGTGTATGTGAGTGCGATCCCTCAAAGAGCTTCAAGGCGGTCCTGAGCATTTCCCGGAAGTGTCAGCATTTGCGCAGATGCCTTGCAGGCACAGAACGCGGAATTTGCCGCGGCCGTGGCAATGCCGACCCAGGCTGCAGCCTATCGATGTGCTTTTGCTGATGTTTTTCTGTACTTTGTGCGAGTCTCCCAAAAAACGCAAGAGGACTCCACAGAGTCCAACTTTCGCTCAGGAGGAAAAGGCGTGCTTGAAGCCTGTGGTTTGGCTCTCAGTCATGTGAGGATCCATCGCTCAAACCGTGGTGTAACATTCCGATCATGATGGAAGAAATGAGGACAAAGGCTGCGCTTCCGTCCAGGACAAGCGCAGGTGCTTGAGTTCCTCAGCAAGATTCGGCAAGTTTCGTTTCTGATAGCTGGTCTTCAGCATCGAGAACTGAGGCAGCGTCGATGGGAGCCCCATTGACAAGCTCTATGGCTTCAAGGTCGAGGGTGAGCCATGCGTTTGGTGCGGCGGTGTGCCCTGACCTCACTTGCTACCGCTTTGCTGTGACGTGTCGGCTGCAGCACGTGCCATTCTGTTTCGTGCGTTGGTATTGAGTAAGTGTTCGTACAATGTCAGTTCTGGGAAGGGGCTTTCAAAAACTGTGGAGAAGGCATGGCGACCTGGAAGTGCTAGCTTGCATCGATCCTTGCTACCCACACAAGAGCAGCATGCAGGAACTACATGGGGTCACCATGCTTTGGCGGCCAGGATTGGATTGCCTCATCCAACTGCTCTGCTTAGTGCCATGCGTTGCCAAATGCTTGATCACGTCGTCGCGCAGGTTGTTTGTTTTGTGCGTGAGATCATTGAACAAAGGCAGGGTCACCAGTCATAGCCGTAAGCTGTCATGACTTCGCATGGGCAGTTGAGCTTGGTGGCGTCGGGTCTGAGTTGTTGACACTTGGACGGTCTGGGACGGTCTGGGACGGTCTGGTGTCTCAGGTGATCAAGCGGCATGCGGGATATGCGGGTCAGCCTGGGGACATCCAACGTGAAACTTCATGGGTTCATGTCGAGGCGTTTTGTCAGTGGAGCCAAACTGCTAAATTTCTCCCAGCTTGACTTCTGCGGTTGCGGCTTACTCGAATTCTCTTGGCCTATGTGCTATGAGTCGCAAGGCAAGCCCGCGACTCTCCACGACTTTCAGGGCGTAATGCGCAGTCTAGTCGCATAATTCATGGCGGTGTGGCGGCTTTTGTGCTGTCACCTTTGTTCAGTTATACAGGGACGGACCTGGTCCACGGATGCCCAGAAAACACAGCAGAACAGAACAGTGTCTCTAGATGTCTCTAGCCAGCCTTCTTGGTTCTCGTTGGAGGCCTTGTACTTCTCGGCACCCCAACGTCTTCTGCGAAGCGCGCGACCTCTTGGTGAATGGAGCTGGCCTGGTCGCGTGCTCGGCAAAGCGGCAAAGGAAACCCACAGACACCGAGAGCAAGAGATGAGCTCAAGCTGAAGTCAGAAAAGTGTGAACGTTTGCGAAGGCTTTTTTTTTTACGTCGGAAGCCAAGGCCTTCGCTACCCGTGGAGTGGTCTGAATCTCGGCTGCAACAGGTTGAAGCGCATGACAAGCAACGCTGTCAGGGTGTCAATGAGCTGGAGGTTGCCAAGTGCGAGGCAGACTTGGTGAAAACACCATTCCCGCGCAGTGAACACCCTCGAACTCCTTGCCAGGACGGAAACCCCAAAATCTGGAAGACTCCTGATCACTCCCCTGCTGGCATGCACATGCCGGCGCCGGCCTTTGCGTGGCAGAAGCTGGCGTGAAGTTCCTTGAGGCGTCTAGAGGCACTGCTTGATTCCTCAGGTAGACTGTGGCGTTCCGTATCCCATCTGGCGCGGTGTGGGCCGTGGCCCTGGTCCTTTTTGCTGGCAGCTGCTTTTTAGCAAGAACGAAGAGATGAGAAGGGAATTGTTCGTGGTAATAGGAGTTGGGGAAGGTGGAGTAGGGCGGCAGTCGAACCCTCTACTGCTACAATATCAGATATGGTGGAATTTCCATGGTTGTGTGCTTGTCACTGGCAACGTTGCACCAAGCATTGCTGAATGGTGGACGCTGTGAGGCCAGCAGTGTGGCTTCTGTCGAGTTCAAGTCCACTGGAAGGCGCCGCGGTGAAGCCTTTTTTTGTCCGTGCTGGGCAGGTAGGGATGACATCAAAAACTCTACATTCTTTCAACAACTCTTTGTAGGGAGCTCGCGAACAGCGGCTACAGACAAACCACAGACAAAAATGGACAAACCAGAGGAAAGATACCTGAAGTCTTTATGCTGGCTCCGTCCTTGCAGATCATGCCATATTGTCGCCCCTATAGGTTGCCTATGACCTGCAAGTGGTGATGAAGTCCGAGTAATGAAATTCAGGTCTGCGCGCGCAGCCATGATTGCTGTTCAGGCATCAGACTCCTACAGATCCTGCGACGGCTACTGCAAAGCGCAAGGTTGGCTCCCTCACTTGGCTCCGAATTCCTTAAACTCTCCTCCCTTTGCTTCCCAGGTGGAATTGCATGCGAGAAGGCCTTCATTGGCAGTGCTGGGGACTGCGATACCCGGTCAGGGTGCTCGGTAATTGGTTCCAAACTCATGTCGAGTAACTGAGCTCTGCTTGAGAACTTCGGTTTGCTCACCAGGATTGTGTTTGCTGCGCGACCCGATTTTACGCGACGAAGGTCCACGATCAAATGCTCCGACTCGATTGTCAATGTTGATGCGATGTGCCAGTGTGCGGCACCGAAGGTGAAGGACAAGTCAAAGCCAAAGCCACCTTGACTGTGGCCCAAATTTGTCCCTCCCTGTAGGAGTCAGCCGCCAATCTTAAGTATGCTGCGGCTCTTCCGCGCCCTGCCGAGGTCTTTCTGAGCCCGCATTACGGATATGACAGAACTGCTTTGCTGCCATGCTTCCCTGAAAGGCGGACATGCAATGCCTTGAGGAGGTTGTTCGCAGCTCAGATGTTGAAAGAAGAGAGGCCACGTTCGTGTCCAATTGAGCGAGAACCAACGTGCAGTGCCAGGATAGTGGCTGCGGATCACTCAAGGACAAGAAGTCATGCTTGGGAGCTTCGCATGCATTGGGAGCTTACAGCGATGCCGCAATGCTCTACACATGTGCTCTGCCTTGCTGAGCCCTGGGAAGTAGCCAGTGCACACCGTGCTCTTGTTGGTAGCCGTCACTGAAAGGTATCTTCCCAGATCTTGCTTACATCAATTTGCTGAAAAGACCTGACATCTGCGACCATTTAAGGAAGCCGAGATGGTGGTATGGAATCGCTGCGTGGTCTTCAAGTCTACGGGGAGCCTTGCGTTTGGTGCGGCGGAGGGCTTTGAGCTCGGGATGATTGCAGCTTCCAACAGGGTGGACTTGACAAAGCAGGGGGGGTTGGGCCTTCTTGGTATCATCAGAATCCATCGGTAGAGCAAAATTCTAGGGACCAGGACCATGACAGTTTTGGACTTGGGATGATGAAGATTAAAGTGTCGAATATGTCGTGTGGTAGTTCAGTGTTGCCTTTGCAAAAATCCGGAGAATCGTGCTCAGCAAGATCCATGATGTTAGTGGAACAACTCAGCAGCCTGCCAAAGATAGCAATAAGCACACACATGACACGCACATCCAGTGCTGGGCAAAGTAGTAAAATTACAAGATGGCACCTGTAAATGCTCGCATGCCCTGACTGCACGCCTGGACACGCCAAAGATTGATGTCATCACGTGGGAGGGAATCTGGGGGAGGCAGCGCCATAGTCATGCCTTCTTTGTTGGAGGTCAACCTTACCTTTGCCTGAAACTAGGCAGCGAATAGAGTTTATGCCTAAACTCTAAAGAGAGTCCAGGGAACGCAGGTCCTGGGAGGCTCCTGGAGTGGCATAGCTGAGAGGTTTTTGAAGGTTGGAGGTTGGATCCGAAAAGTGCCGGAACAGCCACTGGGAGGCCCCTGAAAGGCCTTGGGGAGGGCTATGGGACGGTTCGAGAAATAGTCTGGGAGAGGGTCAGAAACCGTGAGGCTCGGGAGGCTTTGGCAAGGCTCTTGAGGGAGGCCGGTATAGGGCTTAAAAATGCTTGGAAACGGTCTCGGAGAGGCTTCAAAACGCTCAGAAGCGGTCTGAGAGAGGTTCGAAAACGCTTTTTCAAACGGTCTGGGAAAGGCTCAGAACCAGCTTTGGAGGCTTGCAGGCACTCCCACGAAGGTAACTAGTAAGAAGAATGCTTTTTCATGCAGCACCTGGTATACACTATACACATGAAGGATGAGAATACTGTTAGCGAGTTGAACAACCAAGAAATCACTGCTCCCTACGGAGCCTTGCTTTCCCAGCGTGATTGCTATTTTCTGTCTTATCTAATAAATCCTGCCATGTTTCCACGCGGTATCTGCTCAGGTTGTGCACCGACCATAGCTCCTCTCTTTGCGTCGCCTACGACTTTGTGGCGAATGGTCTGGGCTTGGTCGGCGGCTTTGTCACCACTGTAAGTGAGGAAAGGGGTACAAACACAAGGTGTTTTGGGACGAGTCATCATGACTGCTTACGCCCAGGCCTTTGGCGCTCGGGCCTTTCCGGCTTGTTCGGTCGCACACCTCTACCAACAACCACACCTCTGGCGCACGCAGAGAATGTTTTTGATCACGACGGCCAAGTTATTCTGCGAGTTCTGAGAATTCACGGGGTCTTGACGGGTTGGAAAGCTTTTGCATAAATTGGGTATACTGTCGCTAATGGCGTCTAACAGCTCACAAGTGTAGTAGATGCAGCACTCGTATGTTTACTTTGCACAAATCAAGCTCGGAGTGGCATCTGCCAGGCTCCTGCCGCAGTGTCAGAGGTTGCGAGTTGCACCAAGCAGGCGTGCTCCCAAGAATCTTGAGCTATTTCCGTGATGCGTATTTCAGGAGAGCTTCGGCAACCAGCACTATGCACTCTGGAATCCAATCAGTTGTACACCTGAAGCATGACACTTCAAATCTAAACCCGCCTGGAAGTTTTTTTTGGGGTGTTCGTTCCCTCACCAGGCCCACGATGAAATGCTGGGAGTGCTGTCCTCAATGGCCACCTGAAGCTGCGAAACTGACTTTGATTTTGGATGCTTTTGATAAAGCTCCTTGGAGGGGGTGAGTCACGGTGGAATGAAGGGGCAACGATGTGTATGTTGGAGCACGGAGGAGATAATAGGCTCAGACGGGTTGTGACTCGTTTTGGGGGTCATTCTGGCTGCCTTGTCGTAGGAGCAGAATTAATGTCTTTGAAGAGACTTTTGCAAGGTCTTAGGCCTAGGCTATAAATCTCAACCTGCTATCAACATAATATGTAGCGATGCTGGAGGATTTTATGCACACCATGTGTTGGCTTTGTATGGGATACTTGAAGATGCTGTAAGGACGGATAGCATTTGCTGAGGGTGAATTCATTTCGAGCAGGGATAGTGCAGCTGGCCTCAATGGCCATGTCTGAAATCAGACTATGTGCAGCACGACGAGCCTGCGCAAAAGATCCTTGATATCTGAAGCCACCATCTCAGTGCATACAGGCGGCTGCGCCACCCGTGCCAGCAATGGTGCCGGCCTCGGACAGGGATCCTCGTACTAAGCCTGATACGGTACTTTCGTAGTGCAGATAGAGTGGACGGCCCCAGGCAAAGGCTGGCACACAGTCCCAGTCCGAGTCCCCAGTGGGCCGCAGCCTCAGTGTGATCCTAACAGATGGGTGTAGCTGCAAAACAGATTGCACGCTAGGGGTGGTTCAAACGAGCTTCGGTTTTGAAGCGCTAAGCTCCAAAGCCACTAGCTTTGCTAGCTTCAGAGCTTCAGGCGAAGCCACTTGCTTCAAAATTCCGGGCAAAGCTCCGAAGCCACTAGCTTCACTGGCCTCTTAGCTTTGGGCGAAGCCACTTGCTTCAAAATTCCACACTAAGCTCCGAAGCCTCTAGCTTCACTGTAGTTCTGTGCCCATTTTGTACAAACGGTGTAGATGTGCCGTCCTTTGGCAGCTCGAAACCTGTTGATCCGAAGGATGCACAGGCTCAAGGTAGAGCCATAGCGTCGAAAGGGCTTAGGTTTCGCTTGGAACAATGTCGACATGGACGTGGAGTCTGCGGATCTCAGCTCGCTATCTATGTGTCAGTGGTCAAAGCACACGCGGCATCAGAAGATCCACCAATCAAACAGTTCGTCATGCCGAGTTGTCTGCAGACTGCGAGCGCATATCAGGAACTACGCAGGTTATAGGGGCCTTGTTCTAAGGCTGGCTGAGGAGGCGGAAGGTGGCAACTGGAAGACTTGTACTTTCATATTCGAAAGCATGTTACAGGCGGGCACTTCAACATGTTCTGGTACCCATCATGTTGCGATGCAGACGGATTTGGGTTGACGTGCGTGATGACAGTGTGATGTTAAGGGAGATGCCGCTCGGAAAAAATTATTCAAACAATCATGAGTTTTTCAGGGCTACTACAAGAGCGATGGTGAAGATGCCGACAGCTCAGGAAAGGTCAACGTGGGGGTTGAAATCCAACACGTTCCAGGTTCATGGGCTCATATGACCGAGCTGTAGGTCTGCTGACCTCAGGAGCACCACATGGCACAATTTACTTCGCGTCCATAGCGGATGCGCGCGAAGCGGGGCGTGTTTTGTGCCATTTTGTGCAAACAGTGTAGATGTGCCGCCCTTCGGCAGTTCGAAACCTGTTGATCCGAAGGATGCACAGGCTCAAGGTAAAGCCATAGCGTCGAAGGGCCTAGGTTTTGTTTGGAGCCATGTCGACATGGAAAGAAAAAGTGGAGTCTGCGGATCTCAGTCCGCTATGTAAGTGTCAGTGGCAAAGGCACACGCGGCATCAGAACATCCAGCACTCCTTGCAAGGTCTTAGTCGCAGTTCAAATCAAGAAGTTCGTCATGCCGAGTGGTCTGCAGAGTGCGTGCTCAAATCGGAAAGTACACATGAACTAATTGCAGCCTTTTGGGCGAAGCCACTGGCTTCAAAATTCCGGGCGAAGCTCCGAAACCACTAGCTTCACTAGCTTCAGAATTTCGGGCGAAGCCACTTGCGTCAAAATTCCGGGCGAAGTTCCGAAGCAATTGGCCTCACTGGGACCCTTATGCGAAGCCAGTTGCTTTATGATTCAGGAAAAAATTCCGAAGACATTAGGTAGTTTCAGAGAGTCAAGAGTTTCATAGGAGAGCGGTGGTAACCACAGAGGTGATACCGGCACTAACACGAGCAGGAATAGCGGAAGAAGAGTAGGTCATGCCGCAACAGCAGCCGCAGCAGCGTCGGCAATAAGTACGGAAAACGTGACAGCGCTATTGGTACAGGTGGCGGCGAGGACAGCAGTAATGATTGCGATGCTAACTAGCATTTTGCAATGTCCTGCTCGTGAGCAGGCATGTACTAAACATTGTCAAACCCTGGACGTTGCCAGTTTGAAGTTGAGAGCTTGCATTGCAGCCCTTACAACACTTCTTCGACAATTTAAATTCTACTCAGCCTTTGGACTCGACACCCGGGCTCCAAAATTCCCAACCTTGAATTCATTTTTTTTGTAACCACGGCACCACGCCGTAGACTACGAAGAGGTAAGCTCCAGACACGTGTATGGCAGGTCCAGAGGCGGTGTGCGGCGTGCATCCCAAGTGCTCCAAGCGGGCATCCGAGATCCAAGTCCAGGGTGGGAAAATAGAATAGTAGCAACGATGACTATTGTCAACTGAATTCGCATAACGATTTCAGTAAGCGATGCCCATCGTAGAAACACAAAGCGAGCTTACGACAAGTTCTGCCATGGTCATGAATGATGGACTGCAGGCTGGACGGTTACTGCTGCCCGAATTCTGCTGGGGTCCCTCCGGCAGCATTCTGGCAAGACAGCTAGGCAAAACCTATGAAATCATTTTTTTGGCCAACTGTTAGATTTGATGAGGCCAATCTGGACGCTACATGGCAGACTCATGCAGTGCATTGCAGGTCTTCCTCGACTGCTGCAACTCGAATGGGCCAATGGCAATAGCAGATCAGGCAACACTGCAGGCCAGCCGCTGTGGGACAGAGCGTCCATGATGGTAAGAAGAGGCAAGATTTCTCATCGTGTAAAGTTGGGCTGATTTCAGTAAGATTATCATAGAACAGTAGAGAAGGCAAAATCGTAAAATCGTATCAAGTCAGGTGAGTTTTGGATCATGAGGCTCAGCTGCCTGCCACTGCCGTTCATGTGGTTGTCCCCAAGGCCAGGCTTGCCCTGTGCAGCGAGAGCTTCTGTGGTTCTTGTGAAAACTGCTCATTCTTGCGTGCATATTCCCGCAATGCTCCCAGGTTCTGGGGAGGCTTTTGCACCCTAGTATTGACACTTACCGCTGGGTGATTCCAAGGTTGCCGCACCGGTGGTGGTTGCGCCGCAGGCATGTCCCTGCAAATTTCTTGGCCGCTTCATCACACCGGTGTCTTCAGGAGCTTCCCAAACTGAAATACATGGACCATGTGCCGGCCCAGAACTTGATATCTCAGAAGTCCGTGCTCGTACATGAAGGCTGCCAGCTTACTTTTTCTGTCAACTGGCCAAGGACCCAGTTCCGCCCAAAGTACCAGAGCCAATCCTTGCCGGGATCTCGGACTCGTGCTGCTTCATGCAAACACGTCTAAATCTCCATGGCTCTAGTTGTCATCGCAGAGCTTCTCACCCGCAAACGTTTCAGAAGGTGCGTGAGCATTGCGGGAATCCTCGTCGATGCAGGTTTCCTGTATCAGTAGCTATCATAGAGTAAGCCATAGCCCCATTGAAGTTGCTGGAGGGTACAGTGGTTAAATCCTTACGTGCTGCGTAAATTTATCGGGCAGGCATGTGTGCTTGGGATTATCATCCCCGGCCATAGCTTTTTGATCCGTTTCATCATCAAGTCACATGCGGCGCCTTTTTTTGCTGTTGCAAGAGCTGCTTGGAAAGCGTGTGTACATGGCGCTTCATAGTTCCTGCCGTGACTTTACATGATGCCTCAAAATGCAGCGTGCCCCTGGTCATGTGCAGGAACAAACATTATGAAAGAGCTTGTTTTTGGTCCGTTTGGCCAACGAGCAAAGTGCCGCACGTCGTGTTTAGTTGCAAAAGCTGCTTTGGAAAGAGTGTATATTATGTTTCACAGTTCCTGGACTAATTTTAACCAACAGCTGTGACTTCCCGCTTCTCCCATGTGAGCATGGGGAGGGTTGACTTCACATGGCTTTCAGGCGGCTAGCAACGGTGCTTTGTAAAGATCTGCCTTGGGTACTGACCAATTGGTGCCTGGTAGCGAATAAGGGATTAGCTCCCAATGGTTCTCTCCAAATGATCCTCGAGACCAGTCCCTGTGCTCCGTTGCCGGAGGAAATCCTGAACTCTAAACCCTGATTGCAGTTGGAAAAAGGTCCCCCGCAAAAAAGACTTAACCCCCTTTTACAGTAGAGCCCGAAGTACGCAATGCTGAGGGCGTCGGTACCTGGAAGCCGCCTCGCCCCGACCAGGCATTGATAGAAAAGAGCAGTCTTTGCAAGTCTCCTTCGAGCTTCCATGCTAGTTGTCGGGAAGGGCAGTCTTTTCATCTATGGGGTTTTTAGGGATTCTTCAGGGCATGCAGGTATGAAATGGAAATTACAGGGGTGGTTGTCTGGTACTTGTGGACCCTAAGATGTACAGTGCCAGAATAAGAGTACTTTGTCATCGTAACAGGCCCCCAGGCATGCATAATTTTGCGGCAATTAACCTTGTGCTCCAACACTGTTGGGAGTGGATTATTGTTTGTCCATGCCGTTCTTTAAGCACAGTGTGACCGTAGGTCCTTGCTGTTGCTGTTGTTTCGTAGCATACCATTGATATCTCGTCAAACTGACCTCTATGCTGATGATGTTTGCTACTAGAACTGGTATGATTTTTCTCATAGCTATTGAACATGATTATGAGATGTATCGTCATCAGGCATATTACTTTGTTCCTACTATCAACATTATGATCATCATTTGAAGACCATGATTCCTCCTATCCCATTGACAAAGCATGCTGTGGAAACAGGCAGACCTTGGTTGCATGCTGGAGGAGCCGAAGGGATGTGGCAGCTTGGTCTGCTCTATGCGCAGCAGCGCAATCCCTTCAGCCCCCAAACCCTGAATTCCCCTGATAACTTCTTCCCATGACTTGGAGCTCCTCCTTTGAGGGACCCCTGACTTACGTGCCGTGACCCCTTAGTCCTTAAGTCAACCCTCCAGGTACCCCCAGCCGCAATCTAAGGTTCCATCGAACACAAGCTGATGTGCATCAGTCTGGGGCTTGGCAAGCGTTGCTTCATGTGTTATTCTTGCCGTTATTGTGCTTGCTTTCGTGATAGTAGTGAGAATATGAAGTAGTTGCCTGTTGTTGGCTTTCCATGAAGGAGATATGAGTTAGAGCGGCCTTTAACATCTGCCAGCTTTGTCCTCACAGGCCGAGTCGATGGCCGCACTGGATACAAATCTCACGGCTTGAATGTCGGGGGAGAGCCGTGTGTGTGGTGCGGAGGAGGGTGCTTTCCCCAGCTTCTAAAGCCATTCAAAGGCATGGGATTGCGTCACAACAAAGGCCTTGCACAACCAACGGCCCTGCGAAATGCGAGCCATATGATTGGCTGATGAATGGCGAGGGCAAGGCCAGAAAACATCTGGGCTCCAGGCAGCTCTTGCGCCTCAGAGCTTCATGTGGATGATGTGAGGCCTACGGCACGCTGAATGCCAGTGTCTCAGGGTCTTCCACTTGAGGAGAGCCAGCTTTCTCCATCTTCCTCCGCAACCCAGGCAGCCTCCTGGCTTGTGGCAAAGTGCCAGGCTTTGGGCTCATCCTGGGTAAAGGTGTCAGGTCAAATAGCGTTCTTGAGGACGACCGCAACGCTGTCTTTGATGACCTGCAATGCCTGAAGCGCTCCGAAATCGGATGCAACAACATCAAGGCAGACTTTCACTTGTCTTGCTGCGCGGGCCCAGACTCAGACTGGTACTCATTGTTTTGGACTATCTATACACTATCTATACACTTTGTGTCACGAGCACGTTTGCCCCAAAAGGAGGGTCTAGAGTTCATCGTCGTGCTGTTGTCGCTGCTGCTACTGCTACCGCTACTGCCACTGCTACTGCTACTGCTGGTACTACTAAGAAAACGCGTATTTGACAGTGCTTTTCTCTTTACTTCAGGATTTCTGGAGGGGGGGCGCCTGGCTTAGTATTGGGGTATTCGTGTTGCTTGAAAATGTGAATTTTATGGTGGTTTCGTGCTCATTTCAAGTTCTTTGTAAGCGGGGCGGCTGTCAATATTTTTGGGGGATTTACCGCTCCCATTGGTCCAGGGTACGACCCATTAGTCCAAGGGTATGAGGAGTTCTGATTGAATTTCATAATCGCCCCATTCGTCCAGGGTACGCCCTGTTAGTCCAAAGGTACGAGGAGTTCTGATTTAATTCTATCATCGCCTTCTTGTGTGGGATTTTTTGATAAGGGCCAAAGTGACCGCTCCTATAGACATGTTTCTTGTTGCGGGGGGATTTTTCATGCGACAAGTGAGAACTACTTCCTGTAAGGCGAAAGTTGGCAGCTGAAAATATGCTGGGCCACCCTGGCAATTTTCGTGCATGCAATGCTGTGAATGCTGCGCCTGCCAAAGTTTTGTACGCAGATGAACAGAAAACACCACCGTCAAATACGCGATAAGGCACTGCTGCTGCTGCTACTACTACTACTACTACTGCTGCTGCTGCTGCTACTACTACTCCTGCTGCTGCTGCTGCTTGTACTGCTGCTATTACTATTACTGCTGCTTGTACCGCAACAAATGCTTTCAAAGCTCATGAGATGCACTGATACGGGCCCCTGGCTTCAGGACAAGAATCAGTGCCTGTCCAGCATGGACGCGCGCCCCTTTGATGAGGTGGCTGGCTTCAAGGCCTCGGCTGGCATCGAAGAAGCTGAAACCTTTTACGTAACTTGCGTAGCATATTTCAGGCAAGAAACCAGCCCTGCGTTTGGTGTGGTGGTGGGCCTGTGTCTCAGGCATACCTGGGTTCCACAATGTGTGCGCTCACTATTTCGTGAGGAGCTGCCACTCCAACAATGCCAATGCGTGTGAGCCCTATGACTTTGTGATGAACGGCGCAGGCACGGAGAACCAGCACACAACATGCTTCCACTTTGCTGCAGCATAGCTCGCATGCCTGCAGGCCAAGCTTTTGACTACACTTATGCTCAGAACACTTACCTTGTGGCCGAGTGCCAGGTGCGGAGCGCCCCTCTCCTCAGAAGATGTGAGTGACATCCAATGTCTTACGGCAGGAAGGACACGCGAAGGCTGGAGCCTACCCTGCTGCCCATGTCGATCGAGGATTGCCGAAGCAGGCTCGTCTCCTGCTGGGCACGATCGACAGCAAGGAGTTGCTTATGGCAATTCTAATCGTAGCGGAGGTGAAATGTGGATCGACGACCAAGACCTGGGATGCTGTCGGTGTAATACTCGGCATGTGCTGGTCGATGATTCCTTTCAAAAGCTTCGTAGCTGCAAATCTGGATTCCGTAACAGCTAGTCAGGCAGAATCTGCGGAGCCTGTGATGTGACTGTGCCGAACATTAACGCCCCGCGCTCATGCTCATCCAGTGCTGAAGTTGTGACGCCTTCAAGGCTTGCCAAAATATGTGTGTGGTAGGGAGACATCTTGTTTTGGAGGCGACGTTCTCGACCTGCGGCAAGTACTGCGAAAACCAGGGCCACTGGGCTGCGAATGTTAGCTAAGCAGCGAGCAGCATATTTGCCTTTCCCTTTTAGATGTTATCTGTCGAGGTTTGACGTGCGTTGCCTCTTACCGAGCCTTCACCCACAGCTGTGACGTTCAGTCCTCCCAGTGCGCCTGGAGATGGATGAGAACGGTCATAAAAAGAGATGCCCCGGTAGGTTGAGAGTCCCTTTCTAGAGATGCCGCAAGACTGAAATCCAATTCTTGGTTGGCTACCATGATGCTTTGAGCGATGGCCATAACAAGGTTGGGATGGCAGTGATGGTCAAACGGATGATGATTCTGGCAGTATAGCAGAGCTGTATTTGTAGTCAGTACGGCCAGAAACATACAGGAGAAAAAAGAAAGACTAGTGACGACAGCGTGGGCGATGCGGTTGCCAGTGGAGCCCAGGATTTGGATGGATTTGCCTGCGCCTTGCAACCTTAACACAGTGTTCTTCAGAGAACCCTCCGAGATCCATGAATTCGCCCCATGCAGATCCACAACATCCCACAACAGAGATGTCCTCAGAGGACCCCAATGGCGCTTGATCATACAAAGCAGAGGATGGCGAGAGCGCACTTAGACTACTTACGTCCAAGCCCATTGAAGAGACTCTACATAAGTCACTGCAACAGCTGTCGCGGGTCCAAGAGCAAGCGTGCGCAGACTGCATTTGTGACGAGAGTGCGATTTCAAGCTCAATTGTGATGAAGTACCCAACGAGAAGCGCAGAACTCCTGCCTGCACGCAAAGTCACAGCAATGTATCTCTCTGCCCCCAACATGAGAACCCTCTGGTATCGCCAACCTAGATCTAGATAAACAAGCATAGAGATGCCAAAAACAGGGCAGCTGATGAATTGTGAACATTTGTGAATAATACTGGCCTTGAAAGGTACCTTTTCACCTGCAAGCACGCGTTTGACACGGGCGATTTTGCCCGCTGCCGATGTTCCACCAAGGCGTCGGAGATGGCTAAAGTTGGAAAGCTGTTGCTATCACTGCTCGCAATTTGCTTCAGCAGCAGCAGTAGCAGCAGTAGCAATGGTAGCAGTCTCGTCATTGTCATCGTCATCATAGCTGTCGTCGTCTTGGCTGTCGTCATCGTTCTCGTCCTCATCGTAGTTGTAGTTTTCGCAAGCGCCGTTGTCGTCCGTCGTCGTCCGTCGTCGTCTGTCGTCGTCCGTCGTCGTTTGTCGTCGTCCGTTGTCGTCGTCCGCCGTCGCCGCCGCAGATTTGGTACTGCTGCTATTCCTGCTGCTGAGGCTGTTGTTGCAGTAGCAGCAACACTTATCATACGCCTACTCCTACTCTTACTCGTACTCCTCCTATGACTACTGCCACCACCGCCACTACTACTATAACTATCACTATTTCTATTACTATTACCATTACTATTACTATTACCATTTCCTCCTACTAGCACTAGAACGGTAAATAGTATTATTAGTAGTACCATATGCGCTTTAATCGATTGTGGGACCAAATGCGTATTGTGAGGGTTGGGTTTGGGGGGTGCCCTCCACCTTTCCGGAGATCCTTGCGGCACATGTTTAATCCCCTCCCACTAGCATTAAAACCCCATCCCGCCCATCCCATTACTGTTAAATGTTCCCCATATATATATTGGCAGAACACCAAAATGTGAGTTCTTTTAATGCTGGCGGGGCGGGGGTTTTAATATCAGGGCAGGGGAACTACTTCATGATCTATGCTTCAAGAGAAACGACCAGCCAGATCCTAGAGTCACGCCGGCAGCCTCAGACTGTAGACAACTACAGGTATTTCTATTTTTCTCATTATTATCAATACTACTACGACTACTCCGACTACGACGACGACGACGACGACTACTACTACTACTACTACTACCACCACCACGACGACGACTACTACTACTATTACTACTACTACTTCTACTTCTACTACCACTACTACTACTACTACCACTACTACTACTCCTACTACTACTGCTACTGCTACTACTACTACTACTACTACTACTACTAGCCGTCCCGTCCCCCCCCCCTCCCGCGACTAGTCCCTACCACAACC